AAAAAGAAAAAAGAAAAAAGAATTAAGGGCTGTGCCGGGGAGGCAGCTCCGTGGCATAAGCACCTGCCTGGCAAGTGCAAGGTCCTGAGTTAGATCCCAGGTACAAAATAAACAAATAAAAAACAAGGATTACGGGCTGGGCAGGGCATGGTGAGATGCAGTGGTGCACACCTATAATCCCAAGACTCAGGAGGCTGAGACAGGAGGATCTCATATTTGAGGTCACCTGGGCTACTTACTAGAGAGACACTGTCAAAAACAAAACAAAAAACCCAACAAACTTAGACAACAACAAAAGCTTGGAGTCAAGTATGTAGCCCAGGTGGAGCACTTCCTATGGCACAGGTGAGGCCCGGAGTTCCATCCCCAGCACAGGAAGGAAAAAGTAGAGAAAGGCAACCCAGTGAGGCTGAGCTGAGTAGCGCCACCTGCAGGCCCCCGGCGACACAGCCCAGATCTGCGGACCTTGACCCTATCTCCCAGCACAGCCTAAGCAGGTCAGCGCCTGTGTGCCTGCGCTGACCCTGGCCACAGCCCTGGAGAGCAGTCTGAGTTGATGGGTCTGGTCCCTAATTCTGTCCTGCGACGTGAAGAACTTCTCTCATTTCAAGGAGAGATGCTAAGGGCGGGAGGACAGGACGGGACAGGAGGGCCCCTCCCGGGTTCAGATGACCATAGGCGAGGCAGCTCCCGTGTCACTGTGTCCTGCCGGGTCTCACCTCCAGTTGCCGGGAGTCTTCAGACTGAGATGCGGGTGGCGCTTCTGCCTCCCACAAGGAGCGCTCCAAGGCGGGGGCTGGCAGGGCACAGGCCCTGAGTCCTGCACCGGGGGTTGCTGGGCTCCAGGCTATCATCTCTACAACAGCCACCCGCCACCTCCTCCAGCATGGGTCTGGGATGCAGCTGGGACCACTGTTGTCACCATCACTGCCATCGTCGCCACAGTCATGAGTGTGAGTGCCCTTGGGTGCCCAGTGGTCGCCCACAGTGTGGTCTGATTCTGTGTGGCCTGTTGTGCTGGGTAGATTCATGGGGCAGGGTGGGGAGCCTGCTGGCCCCCTTGGGAAAGGGCTGGCCCCTGTGGGGACTTGGCTTGTGTCCACCCTGGAAGAGGTGTCTGGGTGACAGGAGGCCGTGGGAGCGGAAGCTGAAGCCAGGCCATCATCTGAACCGGGAGACAGGCGCGTCCGCTGCTGCATCCTCCTCCCAGGCTCCTGAGCGTGTCCTGAGCTGCCATCTGCAGTGTTGTCATGCTGGGCCTATTCTTACGAAAAGGGCTCCCCTGTACCCTGACAACACTGAAGGGGTGGACAGAGCTCCCCACTCTGAGGAGGGGAAGGCTCATGGGGCGCAGGCTCTCTGGGACCAGTCCACACGTGGTACCCTGGGTTGGTCACCTTTGTAACCAGAAAACAGAGCAGGAGGCATCCTGGGCCCACCAATGCTGCTGGTACAATTTGCCGAGTGTAAAAACCTCCCTTTCATACAGACGTGGCTCAGGTTATGCTCCGCCCAGAATCTGACTGTTCATTAATTATGTACACAACATCTGGGGACTGAACAAGTTCCTTCTTGCAGCTGGACATAAAAGTGTCCCTATTGGGGCCGGGGAGATGGCTCAGTAGAACAAGCGCTTGCCTGGCAAGCACAAGGGCCTGAGTTCAATCCCCGGTTCCGAAAAAAAAAAGAAAAGTGTCCCTATTGCCAGTGGTCACAGGATCCCCTCTGGTGACGCAGACAGGCAACTGTAAGAACTGATTTCCTGCCCACTGTGGTAGTCCAGGCCTATAATCTCAGCACCGTGAAGGCTGAGGCAGGAGGATCTCAGGTTTGAGCCCAACCTGGGTAACTCAGTAAGATGGTTTCAAAAATAAAGACGAAGAATAAATGAAAGGATGGGACAGTTAGTCCTCAGTGCTTCGGTGGTGTTCA